AGTCTCCTCTGCTGCTCATCGATGCCAAAAACCGGAGCGCCAGCCAGCAGAACCAGTGCATGCTCTCAGACCCGGCAGGATACTACATGGGTGGCCAGAATTGGTCCTGACCGGACTGAACCGGATCAAACTTGGATCGAAGCGGCACGGCTGAATTTTGCAGCAGAGGGAAACGGTTAGATTTACAATGAATGTTCAAACGCCACTAGCGGCTGTGCTAAACGTCTTCCTGTTTCCAGGAAGGCGTGCTGTGTGGCGCCAGAGGAAAATGTTGGATTTTTGCACATGTTGCTTCAGTTGTTTGTTTGCCTTTTTGTGTTCCTCAGTTTTTACGGGTTTGTGACAAAAAAATGTCCCTTTGAATCTTAAGAAGAGTTCTTAAAAGTTTTAGCTTGTCTTTGGGATTTCTGTCAACACTCGATGACGCTGGGCCAAATCTACAGCCTTCACTTAAAATACTTTCAAACTAAGCCGCCTGTTTCTGTCAGAAGAGTTTCCTGTACGTCCTCACCTCCACGTAACCTGTGCTTCACTGTTCACCTGTCTGTCCCAGCTGTCCTCAATAAAACCATCATGTGATGTCATTCGTGTCTGGATTTCTTTAACAAAGCACAAAAACCTTCATCTTTATATTTTTCCACCTTCTGTATCACCTGATGATAAAAGACGGAAGCAGCCAATGCTGACGTGCCTTAAACCTGCATTCTTTGTAATGTCCAGCAGGGGGCGACTGTACAAACGTCTGGCCTCTTCTTCAGAGCTGCTTTAATTCTTCATGATTCAGACTCAACACGCTGCAGGAAACATTCATCAGGGCTTTGCTCTATTTAGACATGACATCATCATGACATCATCACAGCTGCTGCAGATGTGTGGGCTGCATCATGATGACACACCAGCCTGAGACGATCTGAGCTCCCTCTGTGCACAGCTCTGTGTTCGCAGCTCAAACGTGACGTCGTCGCAGGACCTGGACCCGCAGCGCAGCAGAGCGCGGCGCAGGACGGTGCAGCAGAAATGGAGGAAGAGAAAACATACTCAGTCGTCTGTTCATGTAAATCATTATTTTTAAATTAACGACACACACAGTATCAAAGCTGTGTGAAGAGTGTGTTCAGACGCAGAGGGTACGAGGAGGGGCGGGTCTGACAGGTTATAAGCCAATGAAAACACTGCAGGTAATCATTAGAATGATTTATTGGCCCAAACTTAGCCGACACACACATCATGCCCATATCGTGGTCTAAACCAATCAGAGATAGTCAGGGGCGGGACCTCTCTATTGCCCAAGGTAAGATGTTCAGATATTGGCTGTATCCCAATTCAGCGTCTGCAGCCTTAAAGGCCGCATTTTAAGGCCGATTACGTAACTGCGACAGACGAAGGCTGTCCCAATTCAAAGGCTGCTCGAAATGCGGCCCTCAAATGCGTCCTTCATTTCCCTGAACTTTAAGGATGTGGTGGTGTAGACTTCGTGGCCCAACATATCCCAGAATTTTGGGAAAAAAACGGTGGATGAGGGGCAGCCGAAGAGTAAACTTTAAGTACTGAATATTATGTCACTTATTGATGTGCAAATGTTTAATAACGAAGAACATTAAACATTCCTGTTGGTTGGCCACATGTCGGCAAAGTCATGTGACATCAGTGACGTTTGTACTAACTTGGTTTTAAAGCCTTTACTTTAAATACACGCCGTTCAATAGCTGAGCTTAATCAGAGAATGATCAAAGCTCATGTAGCAACAAACAAATGAACACAAGATTTTCTCCTTCATTTCTGTCAAACACAGCTGTATGACACGTTTCCAGCTGTTAGTATCATGGTTGCTAGGCAACCTGGGCAGCGCGACGGAGGCTAGACCGTCCCATTTCACAAGCCTCGCACTTCCGGCCTTAGCGGTCTTTAAGTACGCGGCCCTTGAGGACCGTTGAGGCTGCAGACCCTGAATTGGGATACAGCCTTTGAGATGTTCAGTTTGAAGCCTTTGAGGCATTTTTAATTTAGACTTTCTTTTTATTTCATATGTCTTGAGATATTTTAAGTTTAAATTTCAGCTCAGTGAAACACTTTAAGCACAAGAACCTTTTCAGTAACGTGTTTTTTGGACTATAAGGTGCAATTAAAATCCTTTCATTTCCTCAAAAGTGCGCCCTATGTATGAATTCTGGTTGTGTTTACTGACCTCGAACTGATTTGATGTGCTACACGGCGCTCAAAGCAGTTAAAATGTTTAGCACGACTTTGCTAAGCTACGAACCCGCAACGCTCGATGGAGCGTTACAGCTACTGTAGTCAGGACCCTCGCGGAGTGATACGTACCGTGCTTCAACATAATATTACTGTACTGTGCGTGCATAAGGAGCCCAAATTGGCTCCTGCTAAGAGACATGGTTATGAAGCTTCAAACTCTATCAGTCGCGCAGCATGAGAACAGAGCAGCTGTGAGAGAGTTCAGCATGAATGAATCAATGGGTAAAGTTTGACTATTTTTATAATCCGGTGCCCTAAAAATACGGTAACGTGTAGAAATGAGCTCCAAATAAAGAACTTTGTGTTGACAGATTGTTAATCATTCATCAATGTTGTCTGTATGGGCAGCAGTTTAAAAAAGTCTACATGTAAAGCTGAAGTGTTCAGTGATGCGGTTGAAAAATTTGGGAGCACCAAAGAGAAAAAGTGCAACTGTGGGAAAACATTAGTCTCGAGCCCTGCAGCTCCCACTGCACCCACAGTCCACAGCAGCTTCTACACCAGCTCCACCATCTAGAAACTTTCTGCTGCCTCCTTTTTCTTTCTGGTCTTTGCGCCGTAAGTCATGTTTTCTCTTCTCGCTGTCTCAGCTTCCACGAGGCTTTCATCGGCGGATCTTCCTCATGGTGCTGAGCTCCTCCACCACGCTGACGGAGTGATCGTGTCCTGCACACGACTCAGTGGGGGTGGGGGGTACACTGTGTCACCATCCACCTGTCAGTCAGAGAGGCCACGCCCCTAATAATGCAAACATGAACCCTAATACAGGTAAGTTATGGAACACAGTTGCTATCCGGTCGTTAAGTGATGACGTGACGAATCCTACTTCCGGGTCTAAAGTAGTCTGCGTTTAATATGGCTTTTGTGTTGTTAACATGTTTAATGTTTTGTATTTTCTTCTATTTAATCTCAAAAAGCTCCTAAAACAGTCAGTGATCACTGTTGACCTCTCTCAGCTTTTATTACCGCTAATCATTTATTTAAGCTCAGTTTTTAAAACCTTAGGATGTAACTACAGCTCAGCCCATGCAGCAGTATATGAATGACTAACCTCGTATTGTGGATGGATTATCTCAGTTGTTCTCCTGGCTGAAGTTTGGTCCTTTTACAGCATCCTGCCATGCGATTACATTTGTTCCTGACCACTTTTATCGAGTGGAAAAAAAGTTAGCTTGTTTATATTATGCTAACATAGCTGTGTCGCTAGCGGTCACGTAGCACATCATTATATACCAGCTAGCCAAACTTCAGTAACCCTACAAACGTCACTGCTGTTTAGTTTTCTGTCTTCATTTATGTTGGAAGTGATAACAGAGCTGTACGTTTGAATTTGTTTCCAAAACCCCGCAGTCAGGACATGCTATATTGTATTTAGATGGAAACTAGCGAGCTAACTCCCTGCTAACTTCTAACTCCTTTAAATGTCATAAATTCCGTTTTCATGGATGCCTGGATGTTAAACTCAGTTGTTACACCTGGTAGAGCAGAACGCTGATCATTTTATTAAAGATGAAAGACTTTAGACAGTTTTTAACTCTCAGTAATGCCACAGTGATCGTTTGATATATGGACCTGCAGTGGAGTTTAGGCCCAGACACGGCTAGTGACGTCAGACTTAACGACCGGACAGAAACCAGTTGGTGCATCAGGCTGTAAACAGCTTTATTTGAACTCTGCTGCCTCTGCTGGACGTCGGAGGAACTGCAGGCTCTGACAGGAGGATGGTCACATGACAGCGCAGTCACATGACAGCCATGAGGACAGTTATTACACAAACATGGGCTCAGCTCCGTCCTCATGCATCTGCTCACTCTGAACAAACTCCTTCAGGCTGTAAAGTAACTGAGTAAAGTAGAAAGTTGTGTGTGGCAGCTTTGCAGCATCAGGATCATGACCTCCGTGTTGCTCCATCACTCAGGACTTTGTGATGGAGCTGCTGGACTGAAGCCTCAGACCCGAGCTCGTGTCTGCTGACAGACGATCGTCGGGGCGTCTGCCACAGATCAGCTGAGCAGTTAGAGCCACAGTGAAAACGAGCCCTCGTTGGGAGGCGCGCTGAAGCATTTACATGAGAATGTGAGTTATTTTGATCGGGCCTGCAGACATGCTGACTGTCAGCGTGTCGGGGGACGTCTGCAGAACAAAGGGCTCGGGCGACGCCTCAAACAGCAGCTGCAGAAACGACTCAGGGTCTGTGAGGAGGTGAACGGGCAGGGGTCACAGACACGCTCTTTAGGAACACGACAACGCTTTCAGCATTTTATGGCTTACAAAGTTCATCGAGTGGGAAAGTCACGGTCACAGGAAATCACCGTAAACACACCAATAAACAAATATCAGTGTTTCAGTGTTTGCAGAAGCTGAGTGAGCTTTAACCCTCATCCACAGCCTCACAGGGCCAGCTGTGAACAACAGCAAACAGACATTCAACAAGAAAAAGACTCAGAATTAAGAACTGAAACCATGAACATATTTGAATTTTCAGAGTTTAAAATGTCTCAAATGCAGCTGAAGAAAGCAGCGACGCAGCGGTGATGAAGCTGTGAGATCAGAGCTGCGTCTGTTCCCCTCTGCAGGGTCGAGCTGGCGTCTGCATTCGATCCTCCTGATCTGCCCCGGGGCAACAAGTCAACCTGTTCTTATTCAAATCAGCCCACTCCTCGCGCTCATGCCCCAGCAGCCAATCGGCTCGTACAGGGGGCGGGGCAGCAGGGTATAAGTGTCTCAGGTGAGCAGCAGGTGTATGGAGCAGACAGGTGCAGGCAGACTGGAAGAAGCAGCAGCATGGCGTCCTTTGTGCCGGAGCGTGGCCCGTCCCCCCCCGTCTGCAGACGTTCGCTGCCCCAGCAGGAGCTCCCATCTCTGGGCCTCGACCCGTCCGACTTCAGCCTGTACGGCCCTCTGTCTCCACCTGCGTCCAGCCCATCGGCGTGGCTCCAGCCGGCCCACAGCTGCAGCTTCGCCTCCAGCCTGGACCAGAACTTCGCCGCAGGATGTGCACCGGGGCTGCCCCCACCCTTCAGGGATTTCCACCCTCATCTCTACGAGCTCCAGAGGAGCATGCCCTGGTTCTCCCAGGACGAGATGCTGAGCTTGGTCCGCCCGCCATACTCTTACTCTGCCCTCATCGCCATGGCAATAAAGAGCGCTCCAGAGCAGCGGCTGACCCTCAGCCAGATCTACCAGTACGTCTCGGACAACTTCCCCTTCTACGGCCGCAGCAAGGCCGGCTGGCAGAACTCCATCCGCCACAACCTGTCGCTCAACGACTGCTTCCAGAAAGTTCCCCGGGACGAGCGCGATCCAGGTGAGGCGAGCACACCTGAGCTCTGAGGCTCTGATTCGTCAGAGACAGGAAGATGTTTTGTGCTTTGTTTCCAGTATAAACTCCGTTTCTTCATCCAGGTTTTGTCTGAAAAGTTTGATTAACCTTCCTCCTCCTCTTCCTCCCTGCAGGTAAAGGGAACTACTGGACTCTGGACCCGAACTGTGAGAAAATGTTTGACAACGGAAACTTCCGCCGCAAGAGGAAGAGGAAGAACGACTGTGAGACCAATGAGAAGAAATCTTCCTCCTCTTCATCATCACCGTCCTCCTCAGAGCCCAGCCCAAAAATTCCCATTGTGCACAGCAGCAGCAGTTACAGCACGGAGCCGCCTCCTCTCTCAGACGCTGCGTCCAACCTCAGCAGCTTCCTCTGCCACCTCCAGGACTCCCTCTTCCTCGTTCCTCCTCTTCCTCCCTCCTCTGCACCTTACATGAAGTTACCAGAGCAGGCCTTCCCGTCGCCTCAGGGGTACACGTCTTCTTATTCGCCCGGTGCCGTGGTGCCGCAGTGGGACACCAGCTGCTCCTCTCCATCCTTCTACACCTCGCCGCCTCCTCTCTTCTCGTCCTCCCAGGCCAGTCCCTTTAACTTCTGCCCGCTCCCTGACCCTCAGACTGGCTCCCCGTCACTCTACACTGAGCTGCAGACGCCGTCCTGTCCTCACGTGGAGCTCCAGGAGACGCAGCAGCTGCAGCAGCTGCAGGCCCAGAGCCAGCCTCTGTTCTCCGGGGGCTTCAGTGACTCTCTGCCCCTCGACTCGCTGGTCCTCCAGCACTGAAACAGACTAGCCTGTCCGCCCTGAAAAGTTTCTATTTATCTTTTTTATACTTTCACAACTTTAGGATAAGTGAGAAAACGTGTAAATATGAGTGAATGTTGGTGTTTGGAATTAAAAAAACCATTTAAGTTTAAAACAATGTTTTTGTTCAATGTCTCCAAACATGTCAATGAAACGTTTAACTGCACAAAAACAGAATTTGTAAAAAGTCACTTTTAAAACCAAAAAGTAAAGAGAAGAAAAGACTTAAGTAAATGAGATTTAATCAGTATCTTAAATTTTTTATCTCTTAAAATAAAAATAACCATAATTAAACTTTTACACTGCATTAAATTATAGCTTATTACAGGTTATATTTAAATTATAAGAACAAAAGCAGCTGAGTTTAGCTTTAGCATGAGTTTTGCTGCAGGTTTTTTTTTAAAACAATACTGAATAGCTAAACTTCATTGAAGTACAGTAGATGTTTGCTATTCATACAAATTAAAAGGGGGAAATGAATAGCGACGCTTTATTTTAGCTTCTGGTGTTTTTGTGTAGCTAACATTGAATTTATATGAAGCTGATTAGCATCTCTGGGTAACTTTAGCTGCTGAGCTAGTTCTTTAGTTTTAGCGTGTGAGCAGCTGTCTTTGCAGAACTTTAGCAATGAAATTAGCATTTAGCTTACAGGTTTTCAATTAGAATGTCTCTATAACATTAGCAGTGTAGCATAGCAGTGTAACTAGCCCCTTTTTATAACTTTAGTTAATGGTTATGTTAGCTGTACAGTTAGCATATTTAAATGATTATGTTAGCTAGATTTAGCTGTAAAGATGGCCTCTTTCTATGAGTGTATAAGACGTTAGCATCTTTATGTAGTTTTAGCTTAAAGGTCTGTCTGTTCTTTATCAGCAGCTGTTTAAAATCACACAGTTCTTGAGCAAAAGTCGTCCAGTAAGATTAAGACGAGTCTTTGGAGGTCTGTGGTTCTTTTGGGGTCTTTGGAGTTTTTATACGTTTCTGTTTGGGAGCAGTGTTGCCAACTCCTCAGTAAGGAAAATTGCTATTGGCTGTCCTAAAAGTCGCTAAATGACGACATTGCCTAATTTGCATACTTGCTCATGGCTCTGTAATTTTAACAGACACTGTAGATGAGAGAGATATAACATTGTGGAAGAGACATAAAGTGAGTAAAAAACACCCTAAAAGCATTTAGAATATATTTAAAACCACAAATTAAATTTCTTTTAGCAATTATTGTTTTTTTTTATGTCACAATTCCAACCCTGCGCTTTTATCTGGACTTGGGACCGTGAACACCACAAAAGTGACCCGAAATAGGCACTCTGGTGGAGTTACTTTCCATGTGTGTGTTTAAGTTTTAAACCTTGTGATCCATAAAATGTAACATTAAAGGAAGAACATTTTTAACCATTAACAATCAGACTGGACATAGCAAGCCTTACCAGAAAGCTTCATTTGAAATCGGATGTACAAGAGGGACTTGAGGCTTTGCGAGGACATCCGATTTCTGACTGACTGAGTGGTGTTCAGTTAACAACCTCCAACTGAACACCACGAAAACTAAAGAACTTATCTTGGACTTCAGGAAGGGCAGAGCAGACCCGGCCCCACTTTACATTCACGGGAACTGTGTGGAGAGGGTACACTCCATGAGGTTTCTGGGCGTGCAGATATCTGATGACCTCTCCTGGACTGCAAATACTACAGCGGTGGTTAAAAAGGCCCAGCAGCGTCTCCACTTTCTGAGAGTGCTCAGGAGGAACAACCTGGAGGAGAGGCTGCTGGTGACATTTTACAGAGCCACCATAGAGAGCATCCTAGCGTACGGCATAACAACATGGTATGCAGGGTGCTCAGCTGCAGACAGGAAAGTACTGCAGAGGGGCATCAACACAGCCCAGAAGATCACTGGCTGCTCTCTGCCCAGCCTGGAGGTCACTGCAAACTCTCGGTACCTCAGCAGAGCTGGCAATATCATCAAGGACCACTCTCACCCCAGCAACCAACTGTTTGAACTATTACCGTCAGGCCGACGGTACAGGTCACATAAAACCAGGACAAACAGATTCAGGGATAGCTTCTTTCCCAGAGCTATCACCGTAGTAAATAAGCACAAAAACAATTGAACCTATTCCATACCGTCACTGTCATTATATTATGCTGCTATTCATACTGTCATTATATTAATGCTGCTATCCTGTATATATTGTACATACTATTGTTTGAGTACTTACGATTGTTTTTTTGTACTTTTTATATTTTACATTTATATTTATTATTGAAACTTGCACCAAGGGAGTGGCACTCCAATTTCGTTGTACTCTCTACAATGACAATAAAGGCTATTCTATTCTATTCTATTCTAAGTTTGCAGTGATGGGAATGATGTATTTTAGTGCACTGATTTATTTTTGACAAAGAAAAATGTACATGAACCGCTGCTCCCACCATGCGTTACAGTCGGGGGGACAGCGGCTTCGCTCATGCGCGATTCATTTGCAGTTTGTACGCGTAGGGATGAATATCACCTGCTCTGACAACTGCTGAGTGAGGACTAGCTGTGAGCACTTTGGCACGGTCTGAAAACTCGCTAAATAAAGCAACACAGTCACTAACTTGGCAACACTGTTTGGGAGTCTGTGTTAGCATTGGGGGTTTCTGTAGGTCTCCGTAAAGCACCCCTCCAACAGCTAAACCCATCTGTTCGCTGATAGACCATGTGCACGTTAGCATATGCTACTTCCGGTGCAGAAACTCCTGTGGGGAGCCAAAGCCATATTAAACACAGACTACTTTAGACCAGGAAGTAGGATTCGTCGCGTCATCACTGAACAACCGGATATAGAGATGTGCTTCTGAATGTGGACGATGTGTCTTCTGCTGCAGTGATGCAGTTCTGCTTGTGTTGAGTGATGTAAACAACTGATCGATCTAAACTCTTTAAACGTCAAAACTGATCATTAGACTTTTTATGACACAACAGTGGTGAGTGTTCCCACCTCCTGCTCTTTGTAACTTAACGCCATCTTTCCGTTTTCCAGTTTTGGACATGATTGTGGAGGATATATCTTCACAGTAGCGATTGACCGCAAAGTAAAGCTACCGGAAATGTACAACCCCACATCCGGTCTCAAACCAGGAAGTTAGCATTTTCTCGTGCACAGGGTCAATTGGATTGTTAAATTTGTCATTGACTTGACATTGACCAATCAGCTGAAAGGAAGAAAAATCTGGTCAAAATTTGTACTTGCAAGTTGAAATCCACACGCAGCCAGGAAACCTGAGCGCAGAGTTTTACTCGTAGTTTTTTGCTTTGTAAGCAGACCTTAACAAAAACATTTGTAACTCGTGTAAATATTTTTTACAAACACACAAATCCTCCTCTGTAGCCGGTGCTCTCCCGTACTTTGGTTTAGAACCAGTAATAAAACCTGTCACAGCATCCTGCTGATGTGCACAACTGACAACACAGCAAACGTGTTGTTGTGTTGTCAGGGCTCGTGTTAGCAGCTCACTACAAAGGTCCCACTGGGAATCTGCCATTTTTAGTCAGCATGCATGAAGGTCACAGTTACAGCTTCATGATGAACTTTATCAGAACGAGCTGACGGCCGCGCTGTGTGACTGTTTATGCTTCTTGTTTTGTAGTGAAAATAAATCAGCACAGGTTCAAACGTTGTGACAGGAAACTTCAGCATCATAACCCTAACCCTCCTGGCTCAGCTGTGTACTTGACGTCTCTTCTAAGCAGAAAGGAAGCTCTGAATCAAAAAGGACGACTTCCTGACACAGAGCGGACTTTTAGGTTCTACAGGTCAAAGGTCAGGACAGCGTAAACCTGTTGTATCTGCGGCTGAAGCTCAGACTGAGCTCTCCTGGGACAGCAGGATGCTACCAGGGCGCTTACATTTGGCCCTGCAGTGTTATCCATGTGATGTATCACTGTGAGTCCGTGAGCTGCGTCCCCACTGTGGCCAAAGTGCGCGCTCATGTGTGTCATGTGTGTGTCATTGTAAGGTGATGTAATCAGGTACCAGTCTACGTAATAAGGTAGGCTGTTGTTGTGATTTGGTGCTTTATAAATAAAACTGAATTGAATTGGATGTGGTCATAAACTTTCCCCAGGTGGACTTTCCTTCCTCCTCTGACATTCCTGACCTTTGACCCCATGTTTGAGCTGCTGTCGGGTTTACCTGCCTTCAACCTGCAGGGTGAAGTCTGAGCGCGCTCAGGAGTTACACTCTTAGTTTTTTCTGAGGCAGATTTCAAATGTACGACATAAATATAGAAATGATTGATCGTCATCACGTCGTCAGCGAACAGGCTGCGTGTGATTGGTGGACGAGGTGTAAGTGTGCCGCTTGTTTACACTCCACACGTCCTCAGACACACACACATCGATCAGCTGCTGATAGCTTTCATCACACTCTTATTGACACAACAGGAGGCGGAAGGCCAACGTGTGCCGTCTGTTTGCCGCCACAGGCCTCATACATGCAGCGCGTGGGGGCAAAACACCCCCCCAGTCATCCCCATTAAAACCACAGCATTTGCATCTGAGACTGGGAGGAGGAGGAGGAGGGGGAGGAGGGGGAGGGTGGTGCTGAATGATCTCAGCTGGCAGGATGACTGAAGCCCTGAGGTACGACTCAGTGATGAGGCTGCAGCTCCTCCAGAGCGACAACGTGATTATTGATGATTGATGATCGACATGGAACACTTTGAACTCAGACGAGTCATCACACTGAAGTTCACTCTGACCACACACAGACTCACACACACACACACACACACACACAGACACACAGACACACAGACACACAGACTCACACACACA